TAGGCAATATGGAGAAAAAAATTCATGTGCCTTTGAATCTTGAGGCTATAAGAGTCATTTTTGTTATTAATAGGGAAACAGTCTAGTATAGCTCAGAGTATTCAAACCACTTAGGATCTCTCAGAGTCTCAAGGACCAGTACAGTGAGAGAAAGTGAGGCTGAGGAGTTAGGATTTGGACCTTCCTTTCCATAATTCAACTAAGATAGCTCTGTTGGAATTTCTTAGGATCATTTTTCTTAAAAAAAAAAAAAAAGTTAAGGTTCTGTTGCAAAAGAAGAAGTAGGAAGATAGATAGACAAACAGGCAAGTAGGCAGACAGACAGCAGAGAGATTAAAAAATCACAGATAGCAGAAAGAATGGCTCCTAGGCATTATGAGACCTGGAGCTGTGGTGTATGTCTCACTGTGTGAGTGTTGGGGGAGAGAAGGGTTGGAGAGGTCTTCCTTGGCACTGTACAAGTGCTTTGTGAGTACGGGCAATTTTTGAAATGTTTTATCTCTCCTCCACAAATAAGTGGATGCTTGTAGGGGAAGCATTCTCACTTCTCTTGTGGGAACATCTGAGAAATTGTAAGAGCTGCCACACACAGTTGTTCAGGCTGGACACTGCAAAAGGTGTTCCATAAAGAGAGCAGGTGAAAACTGAATGCCAGCTTACACTCTATAAACTGGGAGCCTTGGTATAGGACTATCTGCTGGAGGAAGGGGCCCCTTTCTCTAACTCACACTAAAGCATGTTGGGACTAACAGAGTCCCTGGTGGGCTCATGAGCTCTCTTCCCACAGAGGCAGAATAAAGAGGTCTCATTGTAAGTCTCTGTTTCTGCTCTTCATTTATTGCCATTCTGAGAGGTAAACTCTGGGCTGTGCCAGGAGGTGGAGTCCACTGTACAGATGTCTCTCAATACCTTCAGGAAAGAGTCAGATTGCACTCTGCTTTCCTTTTACCTCCACCATGGAGCCTCCCAGTGGTGAACTGGCTGAGCAACCTTGGATTAAACTGAAAAGTGCTACTCCCCTGAGATGCCATTCTTTCCTATCCAGCTGGCAAAAACTCAAAAGATTAAACATATTCCATGGGCAGACCTACGGAGAAACAGCACTTTCTTATATCACTAGTAGGAATGTAAAATGGTGCATGCCTAAGGAGGGGAATCTGGCTATAGCACATAAAACTACATATGAATTTACCCTTTGACCCAACAACAATCCCACTTCTAGGAACTTATAGAGATGTGTCTCCACAGATGCCAAAAACATAATGCACAAGGTTATGCACTGTGGCAATATTTCTAGTGGCAAAATATTGGAAAGAAGTGAAATGCTCATCCATAGCAAGTGGTAGAATACATTATGGTCTATCCATCAGAATTCTTTGCAGCCATTAAAGCCATTAAAAAGATAGAAAGAAAGAAAAGAAAAAAGAATGAGGAAGATCTCTATGAACTGATGTAGAGGGATTTCTAGAATTTATTGTTAAGGATTTTTTGTTATTGTTAAGAAGTCCTCGTGTAGCACAAATGGTTAAGAGTTCAACTATTAGCTAAAAGGTTGGTAGTTTGAACCCACTCAGAGGTACCTCAGAAGACTGTCCTGCTATATGACCATGAGACCAGAAGAGCTAGATGGTGCCCAGCTACCACTGTTGACCACTCAGAGGGGGATCAGTGCAGGAGATCCTGGATAGAGTAGGAGAACAATGTAGAACAAAACTCAAAATCATTAAAAAAAAAAAAAAAAAAAGACCAGGTTTGCTGGTCTGATAGAACCTGGTGAGACCCCTGAGACTATGGCCCCTAATGTAGAACTGAACTCATTCCTGTGGCTTCCAGCCAAACAATAGACAAGCATATGGGGTGAACATTTACATCAGGTCGATATATTCCTTGGAGTGAAATCGTGGGAAAACAGAAGGGCAGTGTTTGCACAGGGAGACAGCTTGGGGGCGGGGGTAGGGGGCGGGAGGATGGCACAGTTGACTCAACAGCAACTAACAGTGTAACAACAACATTGTTAAGTGAAGGAAGAAAAGATGCAAATGAGTATATATAGTAGTGTACTACATTTTCTGTAAGAAATAAGGGGCAATAAAAGTACATATATGTATTTGTTTATTTTTGCAGAAAGAAACACAGCAGGACAAACCAGAAACTAATGAAAGTGCTTTACTATAGGCTGTGGAGGGGAGAAATACAAGAATGAGGCTTCTCTGCCTGCAACTTTTTATATGATTTTGAATTTTAGACCATATGAATGTTTTATTTTTCAAAGTTATAACTTTATTTATTTGCTATTAATTATTACTATTTTACAGAGCAAATTGGTTGTCAACTCAATAATTCATACACATTTTGTTTCTTGAATTGATCACAATCCCCACAATGTAACAGCTCTCTTCCCATTTCATCCCTGTTTCCATTCATCTTTCTTTCCTATCCCTTCCTTCTGAGCTTCTTTGTTGTTAGATGCCCTGGAGTTGACTCCGACTCATATTGACCCATGTACAACCAAACGAGACACTACCCAGTCCTGTACCATCCTCACAATCTTTGCCATGCTTGAGCCCATCATTGCAGCCACTGTGTCGATCCATCTCATTGAGGGTCTTCCCCTTTTTCTCTGACCCTCTACTTTATCCCTCTCCAGGGACTGGTCTCTTCTGACAACATGACCAAAGTACATGAGACGAAGTCTGGCCATTCTCACTTCTAAGGAGAGTTCTGTCTGCATTTCTTCCAAGACAGATCTGTTGTTTCTTGTGGCAGTCCATGGGGTCTTCAGTATTCTTTGCCAACACCACAATTCAAATGCATCAATTCTTCTTGGTCTTGGTCTTTCTTATTCATTGTACAGCTTTCACATGCATGTGAGGCTATTTAAAATATCATGGCTTGGGTCAGGCATATTTTAGTCTTCGAAGTGTCATCTTGGCTCTTTAACATTTTAAAGAGGTCTTTTACAACAGATTTGCCCAATGCAATAGTTGTTTGATTTCTTGACTACTGCTTCCATGGCCATTAATTGTGGATCCAAGTAAAATTAAATCCTTGGCAATTCCATTTGTTCCAGTCCTTTCTCCATTTATCATAATGTTGCTTATTGGTTCAGTTGTGAGTCTGAGCTTTATCTCTTGGCAAAACTTTTTGAAATTTTTTGAATTTTTTTGAAAAAGGATTTCTAAAAAGAATCCCAGAATGGAATGTAAATAGAAACAAAATAAACCAACTATGTTTCAAATTTATAACATAACTACACTGAGAATAATTTTTTAATGTGTACTGTGATCGTACATTTTAACAGCTTTACTGAGGTATCATTTATATATCATAAAACTCATCCATTTAAAATATACAATTTAATCGCTTCTAGGAGCTCTGGTAGCATAGTGCCTAAGGCACTTGACTGCTAACCAGCAGGCTGGCAGTTCAAACCCACCAGCCACTCCTTGGAAGGAAGATGGGGCAATCTACTTCCGTAGTGATACTGCCTCGGAAACCCAAGGAAGGGTCGCTATGAGTCGGGTCCAACTCAATGGCAAATAACAATAACAACAACAGGATATATACAGTTGTGCAACCACCCCCCTAATCTAACAGTAAGATGTCCACCAACACCACCCATGTGCTATTCTTGGCAAAAATATTTAACCTGAAGCTAACGAGGAAACAATCAGATAAATCAAGAATGGGAGATATTTACAGACAGATGTCCTGGACTCTTCAAAAGCGTTTATTACTTTAAAAAAAAAAAAAAAAAGAAAGAAAAGAAATTGGGATCTATATACTTAAAGAACTAAAGTGACATAACAATCAAATGAACTGTGTGAACATTAATGAGATCTTAGGTTTTAAAACAATCTTAAAAAGACACCATGGTGCCAAATAAGTCAATCACAGAAGGACAAATATAGTATTAGTTCATTGTTGTGGAGGGTCAAGGAAAGGTTTATACATGGAAAGAAACTTTCTTTGTTGGTTGCCAGGAGTAAAAGGGGAGGGGAGGGAAAACTGCAAAAAAAAATAATAAATAATAAAAAAACTGCATTCACCAAAAAAAAAAAAAGATACCATGGGGATAATTGGGTATGTTTGAATGTGAACTATGTATTACATGATACATGGAACAACTATTAATTTTCATAGATGTAATAATGTTTTGTGGTTAAGTAAGAGAAAATTCTTTTTCTTAAGAGATAGGTTGAAATATTTCGCAGTGACATGCTATGAGGTCTACAAAATATTTTCCAATAGTTGTACAACAACAATAATAAGTATAAATAGAGAGAAAGCAAATATGGCCAGATTTTAACAATTGCTTGGTATAAATGAAGAGTAATGCGTGTTCACAAAAATGACCAGAATTACTGGTCCAATAGAGACTGGTGGAACCCCCGAGATTATGGCCCCGGGTTATCCTTCGGGCCTGGAAATGGACTCACTTCTCTGGATTGGCTCTCAGCCCAACAGTAGAAAGACCTACAAGCAGAACTCCTACCCCAGGGAAATGCACCCACCTACCCTAGAGAGATGCACCCCTCAGATCAACCAGCCACGAAACATCAGAGAGCCAGCATTCACATAGCGGGAAAGCTGGACAGACAGGAGTGCACAGATAAGAAGGGCACAGGGAAGGGCAGTCACAGGGAGGAAAGGGGAGGAGAGTTTTTATGGTTAGGGATTGTAGTTGGGCCCTGAATCAAATGTGCATGAAATGTTGAGAGTAAAACAAATCTGCTTTGTAAATTTGCACCCAAATCACAATTGAAAAATGAAATAAAAGAGTAACTGGTGTTCATATATTATTCGGACAGCTTTTCTTTAGATCTGAGCATTTTCAAAATAAAAAGCTGTAGGGAGGTCTTTAAGCTTGCTGGGCATGGGTGTGTGTCTGTAAGGATTGTCCTATTGGCAGCATCTCTAGCTCAGGCTGGGCCAGGGCAGATCTCCTGCCACTGGCATGTTTGCTGCCTACTTACCAACTAGCTTCTTTTTGCACTCAGGTGAAGACCCCCTTGTGGATGATCAAAATGAACGAGACATCAATTCAGTTGCTGGTGTTTTAAAACTGTATTTCCGAGGACTGGAAAACCCACTCTTTCCTAAGGAAAGGTTTCAAGATTTGATATCTACTATTAGTAAGTACCAGTGGGAAGGGGCAGGCAGATGAGGGGCTTTCCCTGGTGAAATGATCAGTTCCTTGACAACTCTTTATTGAAGTTGTGCTACAGCTCAGCACTGTGCTAGGCACAGAGAAGGGATATTATGAAAAATGAGTGACCCTTGTCCTCAAACAACTTAAAACCTAGTTGTGGAAATAATAAGATGGTTTATATTGAAAGAGCTAAAGGGGATGGCACACTCCTGGGTACAGAAGGCACTCAGGGGAGAAGAGGCAGAGGGACTTGGTTTCATAGATCAGAGCTGAGAGAGTGATATGAGCAGTTTTTCAGAAGAAGTGAATACAGGGAATCCTGCGGAGGGTTCAGTAGGACCAGAAGGAAGTGTTCCGGCCAGTGCATGGACCAAGAGTGAGAAGACCGTGAATGCCTTGCAAAGGTTTTGCAGCTTTTCTCCTTGAGTAATGGGGTACCATGGAAGGTTTAGAGGCCAGGTCAGCAACATGACAAGCAAGGAAAATGGTGAAAATAAATTGACTGGGTGCCTCCTCTGATGTCACTAAGTATGAGATTCCTGCTGATTAGTATGTTTCTATAGGTCAAGGCAAGAGTCCAGTTTTGGGGGCTGAAGTCAAGGCACCTTGACTGTAAGATGCCAAAATCCAAGACAACCTTTTGAGGATGCTATTTGAAAAAAAAAAACAACTTTATTGTAGAATGTTTAAAATTGTCCCACACCCACTTTCCTAGGGCTGCTACTTACAACATACTGGGAGAGATTTGCAGCAAGGGAAGTATCCCAGGAGGTGGCAAGAGGAGAGGGAGGCCTGAGTGTAAGACCTTCCCTTAGCCCTTCTGCTCATCCTTCCAGACCCAGCTAATGCTCCAAATCTCGTCTCAGAAATTCCTCACCACCAAGGCCCCAACCCTCTCTGAGCCCTGTGTCGCTAGCTCAGCCCATGACTGCAGATCCTGAGCAAGGCCCTGACCAGACAAGGATGTTGACCTGGCACGGGTCATGATATTACAGACCTGGAATCACACTGTGAACCAGAAAGTCCCTTCTCAGTTCCCTCCCAAACCTTCACATTACATCAAGGAGAAGCTCTTACCTATCAATCTGCCTTTTAAACAGAAAATCAGGCAGGCCTCAGTCTCAGAAATTCTGTAAGCAGGAATGTCTAGCTATCATTTAGTAACACTGCTTTACTTTCATTGTATCTGTTTTTGTCATCTTCTTCTTATGGCAAGTGATCCTGGTTTCTCATTTACAGAGTGATTTAAGGTTTCCTTTTAAAATAAATGTAATTAAGAAAAACAATATTAAACACATGATATGATGGAAGCTGAGCAAACACAGTAGTGAAAGGTAGAAGAATAGATGTGTATGGATAGTCATTAACTCTGTGGGGAGGTTTGGGCAAGACTTTGTAGAGACAGGCCTTGGAAGTAAGCTAGAATGTGCTGGGTGGAGAAGTGGGGCCATCAGTGTGTACGGAGGCCAAGGGCAGGACAGCCCTTTGTGAGAGGGAGACTGTGGATGAGGTGGCTTGGCCCAGGGTTTCTCCTTGCAGGACACTGTTGGCATTTAGGGTAGAACAGTATCTTGTATGTCACCCACATTCAGGATATTTAGCAACCTGGTCCCTAGATACCAAATGCCAATAGCACTTTCTAGTCATTGTGACAACCTCAAAGAATGACCCATAGATTTCTAAATGCTCCCAGGATGGTGGTGTTGTTCTTGGCCTTCTGACAACATAACCAAAGTAAGTCAGACAAAGTCTGGCCATTCTCACCTCCAAGGGGTGTACTACCACATTATTTGAGAAGTACAGCTCTAGATCATCTCTAGATTCTTTGGGAAAGGGTATTGGCTGTGAGACAAGGCAGGCAGGGTTGGATGAAGCCCCATCATGAAGGGCCTTGGATGCAGAAGAGAAATGGGAAAAGTTGTAGTTTAGAGGGAACACACTGACGAATGTGGAGGCCAGAGAGGAGAGCTATATGAGAGAAGTGTATTTTGAGAAAAAGAAACTGGCATTGTTTTGAAAATCAGCCCTACAAATAAACATTAGAGATGTAGCCACTCACTCTTCTTAACTCCAGCTTTCTCTCTCCACAAAGCAAAACCCCAAAGGCATTTTTATCTCCTTACCAAGCCCACCCTTGTCCCAACTGTTAAAAATACCCCTATTCTACACTTATTGGGGAGTTCTGATAGTGTAGTGCCTAAGGCATTTGACTGCTAACCAGAAGGCTGGCAATTCAAACCTATCAGCCACTCCTTGGAAGGAAGATGGGGCAATCTACTTCCATAGTGATACTGCCTTGGAAACCCAAGGAGGGGTTGCTATGAGTCGGATCCGACTCGATGGCAGTTGAGTTTGGTTTCGGTTTTTGGTTTTACATTTGTTGACTATCTTGTTATCTGACATTTCACGTTTATTACAATAGTAAAAAAGTCTACTATTTGACTAACTTATATATCAATGACATATATCTGGCAGTAATGAACACCAAGCTATGAAGTGAGAGTAACACTGGCTGTGATAGTTAAGGTTATGTATCAACTTGGCTGGGCCATGATTCTCAGTGATTTGGCAGTTATACAATGATGTAATTTGACAGTTAAGTAATGATGTAGTCATTCTCCATTTTGTGATTTGATGTGGTTCCTGCATTTTCACATAACGCCAATTTTCACGTAATAATCTGGGGTTTGAAACCTAACAGTATTGATAAGTGAGGAGTGGGTGTACGATTGTCTGTTGTTCTAGGATGATCAGAGATGAGTTCTTGAGCATCTGCCAGGCTCTTTGGCCAATATGTAGCTTGAGAGGTGGTTATTCATTCAACCCTCATTTCCCAAGCACCTGCTATGTGCCAGGCCCGTGCTACAGTTGGTATTTATAAAGACTTTAATAAAATGTAGTCCCTGTGGTGTTTGTCAGGACTTTTAGGTTGCCAATTATAGAAACTGAACTTAAACTGATTGTATCTATGAGGGAATATATTGGTTCATGTATCTAAACAGTTTAGGCCAAGCTGGATCCAGTTCCTTACACAGCATCAGCAGGAATCTCTGTGCCACCTTCACTCTCTAGTAAACTCTTCTTTTTCTTGTAATCCCCAGCTGCTCCAGACTTCCCTCCATCCAAGTTTAAGAGGGCACCTTTCTTTAGATTTCTCCATCCTGAAGTCCCAAGGAAAATGCTGATTGGTTTTGACTAGCACACCCCCTTCCTGAACTAATCCTTATAGCCAGGAGAATGTGATATTCTGATTGGCCAGGACTGGGTCACGTTGATCCTGAGTCAGGCAGAGCTGACTCTCCTTGAACCACTTGAGCTGATGTAAGAGGTGAGAACCAGCACACTTTTGAGAATGAAAGGTGCCCTGAAAAGCCCCTTTATGTTACAGAACTGGAGACCCCAGCTGAGAGGGTACACCAGATCCAACAAATCCTCATCACCCTGCCCCGCGTGGTCATCGTGGTCATGAGATACCTCTTCGCGTTCCTCAACCAGTGAGTGCCTTTGACCTGCCTAGCCAAGGGGGCCCCTCTTTTACTCTGCCCTGGCCTCCTGGGAGGGGATGTACTGAGACTTATGCAGGCACTACTGTTTTCAAAACAGAACAGGAACCTTCCTGGATATGAGCATAGCCCCCAAAGAAGAAGACCTCAGAGGGAGGATTGGTCTTTCCCAGGTGACTTGTGGGTCCCTCCTCTCTTCTAGCCTCTCCCAATATAGCGACGAGAACATGATGGATCCCTACAACTTGGCTATCTGCTTCGGGCCCACACTCATGCACATCCCTGATGGGCAGGACCCTGTGTCCTGCCAGGCACACGTCAATGAAGTCATCAAAACCATCATCATCCATCATGAAGCCATCTTCCCCAGCCCCCGGGAGCTAGAGGGACCTGTGTATGAAAAATGCATGGCTGGAGGGGAAGAATATTGGTAAGATTCCACTCCTTATTATTACTATTATCATCATTGTTGTTGTTGTTGTTCAACAGGAACAGTAAGAAACTCTTCAGTTTTCTTAGTGCTTTATTATCTGTACTTCCATAAACATTTTTTCATTTGAGCTTCACAACAGCCGTATAAGATCAGAGGGTATATCAGTCAAGACTTTCTTGGTTACATAAGTAAAACTCAAACAGCTTTAAACCAGATGGGAATTTATTGATTTACTTAATTAAAAAGTCTTAGACTATGGCTTCAGGTATAGATGGATCCAGGCACTCAGATGTTATTATCAGGACTTGGTCTTGCAGTCCTCCATCCCTTGGCTCTGCTTTCATTTGTGTTGGCTTTATTCTCAGGCAAGAAAGCAGCTAGCAGCCCCAGATTTAGAACCCATTCTCTGACCATCCCCAGTGGAAGAAGAACACTTCCTTTCCAACACAAGCCCAAGAATTGTGTCTTGTTGCTGAGGTTTGGTCTAGTTCCAGTCCGTGATCCAGTCACATTGGTAAAGGGATGTAATGCTCTACTAATAGGCCAGGTCAAGTCATAAGGAAGCAGGAGTGTGACTATCTTCACCTCAACCTCATGAACTGAGTGACTCTTCTTGCTGATTACTTCTCCCATCTAGGAGTTCTCTTTCCCACACAAAATAAGTTCTTTTCTTTTTTTAGTGTTCCACACCAGGCCAACAAGGTTTATTAAGCCCCTCCATATACCTGACAGTGCACTGGGTCATAAGAGGAATGTTTTAGAACCTTATCAAAATCAGGGCTGACTACCTTCCCCAAGCTAAGAGCTTACAATGTGGGGAAGATAGGAAATTCGGAACACAAGGGACAGAGACCAGTCAAAGGGGACCTACTATTTCTTTATTCCCAGTTCAAGATGATACACAGCTATATATTTAAGTATTGTGGTGCTTTCAACCATGTATCTGCAGGAGAGTTTATAGTTTGATTTTCAAATTGTTCTTGGACTCTTGAGTTGCCTTAGTTCTATGGACATATTTGGGCAACTGTTTCAAAGGAGGGAGGTGTTCTAGCTCATTTGTACCCACAAAGAAATAATGGGCCATAGTGATCTCTAATCACAGTTCTCTAATCTCATCAGAGGCACTAAGGAACAAGTTAGTCCCTGTTCTGAACACAAACATTTAACAGCCAGCAAGCATAATTTATGGACAAAGAGGAGCTTTTCACACATTTTTTGCAATCATTACCAGTTCCCTTTCCTTATTATAATATATATAATTAGTGTTCTGCGAAGGACACAGATCTTAACATATTTATCAAAGACCAAAATACAATAACCACACTTTTCCTAATTTCATTTGTTTCCTATGAGAAAGTAAAACTATTATTTACATGGTAATTTTGGAGTTTTCAAGGCCAAGAAGCTGAAGGTCTCTCATCACAGTAGACAACATTCATTCATTCAACTAACCGTTACCAGAGCCCCTGTCATGGGCCCAGCCCTGGGCTGGGAGGCAGGGATGTAACCATGAACAGAATTAAGGGAACTCAAGTGTAGGAGGCAAGAGATCATTCCAGAAGTGAGGCCCGTAGGCCAATCTTGGGTGGTCAGGAAAGGCCCCCTAGAGGAGCAAAGCTGAACTAAGACCTGAAGGATGAACTGGGGTCAGCCCCGTGCTGAGTGGGCAAAGAATGTTCTAGGCTATGAAAACAGCACGTGCAAAGGCCTGGAGCATTCAATAAAATGAAAAGCAATTAGTGTGGCCAAGTGTAGCGTATAACAAGGTAATGGCAAGAAGGAAGATGCTGTAGGTTAGTAGGTGGCTGGTTTTGGAAGTCATTTTGCAGAGTCTGGACTTTATCCAGCAGGCAATCCAGAACCTTTAATATAAAGTCCATATCCCCTGGCACTTTAATTGTGATGTTTTCTGAGAAACCTTTCCTGACCACCCTATACTGGTAGTCTCTGCCATTCCTATCTCTGCTCGTTTGTTTCTGATGCAACACGTATTTCAACTCGCAGCTGTTTTATTTACTGGCGTATTTGCTTGGGCTTCTTTTCTGCCCACCCTCTAGAATGTAAGCTCCATGAGGGTAGGCACCTTGTCTGCCTTACCCATCATTGCATCCCTCATATCTAGTACAGTGCCTGGCTTATATTAGGACTCAACTAGTGGCTCAATAAAAAGTCTATGGGAAGGAGCTCTGGCCTCAAGAAATTTATAATGTAGTGAAGGGATAGCAGGTGGTAAGACAGTACTGACACATTCTTGACTAAATGTGATGGACTTCAATACACTCAGCCACCATGTGCATCCAGGTGACTGTGAGCGAGTATCACCCCTGGGTGGATTGGGGCTTTTGCATACCACATCTTGAAGCAGCCTTCAGGGACCTTACTCCTCAATGGCTTCACATCCCCTCATTGGGTCTCTCACCCCAGCTCTAAGACAAGGGAGCCAGGGTAGATAATATGATACACATTCCTCCAAAAGTTCCTTTCTGCTCTGGCATCTTTGACCCTGTGGTCTTTCTGGTGATAAAATCCAGGGCTTCACCTTTGCCCTCTGCATCTTATAGGACACCTAATGACTGACAACCTTGACCAAGAAGCTATCCCAGCAATGTGCAGGGCTTCAGGGGAGCTGGCAGAGAAATCCAGGGGAGCATCACGTAAGAGGAGGCCATGGAGGGGCAGAATGGAAAAGACAGGATGCTGTGGGCCTGCACCTGATGGGGGTGAAGGCCCAGAGGTGAAGTGGACTGGTATCCATGGGAGGCTGAGAGTGGTGTGAGGGTAGATAGCCCCCTGGTGAGTCCCCTTCCTGTGTTTCCTTGCAGTGACAGCCCACACAGTGAGCCAGGGACCATCGATGAAGTTGACCATGACAATGGCACTGAGCCTCATACCAGTGATGAAGGTGAGTGAGGGCCAAGGAACTCCCCCAAACCAAAAAAACCAAACCAGTTGCCATTAATTGATCCCAACTCATGGAAACCTCATGTGTATCAGAGTAGAAATATATTCTGTAGAGTTTTCAGTGGTTGATTTTTCACAAGTAGGTCTCCAGGCTCTTCTTCTGAGGCATCTCTGGGTGGACTTGAACCTCCAACCCTTCAGTTAGCAGCTAAGACTATTAGCCATTTGTACCACCCAGGAATGCCTAGGAATTCCTCTTGATTGTTCACCAGCCCAACCACAGGGCAGACCTATATAACCCCTACAGCTTTCTGCATCAGCATATTCATCCTTCAGGAGAGATGAGGACCCAGGAAAACCTCCAGTCCCATTGCTTTGTTCAATACTCCACAACCAGTGCTTTATCCATTTACATATCCTGGTGGCCCATGGCCCAGATCTTAAGTGATGATAGTATCCCAAGTAGGAAGCCACCTTTGTCTCCACTCCCTCCACCCCCACCTCCCAAGCAAACCTTTGCTGAGTATCTTCCATGCCAGGCTTCTGCCAGGCACTGGGGCACAAAGGTGAATGAGACTCTACCTTGTCATCCCAAGGAGCATCTGTCTTGTTATCCCACCTACACAGGCTGGCACACAGCTTCCCCATGATACAGAGTGACAAGGTCAGACTACAGGTGTGTCTCCAATGTCATAGGCACCCAAAAGTTGAAGTCCAATGGTGGCTGTCCAGGACAGTGTGTGGTGGGGAAGAAGGCAAAGCCAGCCCAGGCTCTGAGGGGCTTACTGGGCTCCCCTTTTAGACAAAAGAGATGGTTAGTCTCTAGAAAACTGAACCATGGTACACAAGTAATGGGGGTAATATGGACCCACAGTCAACTTATCCTTTAGGCAGAATAGGCACAGCACCTAGAGCCCATGAAGATGTTTCGATTTCTTTTAAAATCAGAAGAGTTGAATAAACATGATTCAGCCTCAATTATTTCACCTTTATACCAATACAGTGGTAAAATAAAGTTTTTAACTATTTTTTTTAATGGAAGTGGCCAGTGAAGGCACAAGTTCCAAGCGCCCACAAAAGTTATAATGTGGCCCTGTATGGACCAAATATAACCCTCTTTCTCTCTTTGAAAGTTTTGTTTGTTTTTAATCATTACTTAGCATTTCTCTTACTAGGCCTTTATGTTTCCCTGTGCAACAAACCCAGGCCCTGCAGGCCACATTTGTCAGGAGAGTCAGCTAGACTTTCTGGGAGGTGGCTAAATAGGCCAGAGCAATAGGTGAGTTTTCACATCCTAGTAGGACTATTTCAGTTGCCAGTGACTGAATCCCCAACATGAACTGACTTACCTATAAAAGGGAATCAGCTCAAATTCCTGAAAAGTCCCAGGGGAGGAATGGCTTCAGGTACAGCTGGATTCAGGAGCTCAGATGATTGTGCAGGGCTTTATTTCCATCTTCCTGTTCTGCTTCCCTCTGAGTTGGCTTCATTCTCTAGTAAGACATCCCTGTGCAGTGGCCTTTGGCAGGTCCAGGCTTTCACCATGCTTTCAGCCAAGAGTCACAGTGGAAAAGATATTTTCCAACAATGATCCTGGGATCAAGTCTCATTGGACTGCCTTGAATCATGAGTTCAAGCATGATCCAATTACTGTAGCCTAAAAGGAAGCTAATGGATCAGGCTTGGGTCACAGATGTAGAAAAGCAAATCCAGATGTAGTGTTCAAAATCCTGAGAGGCTGAGGTCATCCTGAACTGAGGAGAGTGTCCTGTGGAGCCTTTATAAGATTTGAAGGCTTCTACCTTCCGCTTATTAGCAGTGATTTGCTTTCTCTTGCCTTCTTTCCTCCCTTCCTCTGTCTCTATACCGCCTCTAGTCCTCCCTCTCCCTCCCTCCTTCTATCATTTTTACCAGCCCCCACCCCTTCTCTGCTTCTCTCCATCTATTGCTTTCTTTATTGATGGATCTATGTTTGTCTCTCTCACCCCTGAATCTTTCTCTCTGACTTTCTGTCTCCTTAGTTTTCAACTCTATGTGTGTGAGTATGTATGTGTGTGTGTCCATCCTTCTTGCTCTAGATCTGGCTCTCAATCTCTCTTCTTCCACTGGCGGAAAGCCACCTCTTACGTCAAATGGGATAGATTGTGATCTTCCAGGGCTAACTGTGGTTAATGTCATGAGACAAAGTATATGTCAACTGCTGTATGGAAAGTGAATTTGCTCTGTAAATCTTCACCCAAATCACAATAAAAAAAATAATAATAATAATAAAAGACTTTCCAGGGCTGCTGATGGTGGAGGCAGTTGACCCACACTCCCACCTTCCTGGTGCTGCCTGTCATCCTGCCCCTGGTGGTTTTTCCAAAGCTCCTCAGTCTGATGGGCAGAAGGGTGCTCTTGGCATCAGGACTGAGGATGGTGCATGCAAGACAGAGAGGATAGGGCTTGCTACGTCATCGAGGAAGCCACCATAAGACATGCACAGCAGACTTCAATCCCAACCAGTAACCACCTCCCAGAAAATTCTTCTCTCCCCTCCCCCAGCAAAGGCTCAAAATTGTCCTTGGGATGGGATGAGTCTCAGCTTATATCTACTTCCCCAGAACCAGTGCTTCTTTGTTCTTTGTAAAGCTACTGGTTTCTGAGAATGACAAAAGCCGGAAGAATCATCAAGGAAGACTTTTGCCATGCCTGGGAGAGCCAGCTTCATGCTCCCTGAAGGCCTTTGAAGTATTCTGTGTGTGTTGAGGGGGTGAGTCAGGGGCACCCTTTGGATGAAACGAATTACCTTTTCTCAGTGTTTACATTCATCTGCAGTTCCACCAAAACAGTCATAGAAATATGGAACTGTGGGGACAGTTGAGGGTGCTATCTGGACTCAGTGAAAGGTGAACTGGTTTGAAAGCCACGGGAGACCTTTATGGCCATTGGATCTGAGGCAAACCTTGTAACTTCTCACCTTAATTTCTTTATCTATAAAATGGGAGTATAGCACCAAAAGAATTGTGAGGTAACCTATGTAAAGCGGCTTACCACAGTGTCAGGGACAAGTAGGTAGACAAAAAACATTAACTGGCTTTGTATCAACTATGGTGTTGTTAGGTGCTGTTGAGTTGATTTTAACTCATAGTAACCACCAGCCACTTCTCAGAAGGAAGGTTGGGCAGTCTACTTCCGTAGTGATACCACCTTGGAAACCCAAGGAGGGGTCGCTTTGAGTTGGGTCCGACTCGACGGCATGCGTTCATTTTTTTCAGTAACCTCATGTGACGGAGTAGCACTGCCCCAAAAGACTCCCTAGGCCATAAGCTTTATGGAAGCAGGTCACTCAATCTTTCTCCCAGTGGAGCTGCTGGGTGGATTCAAACTGCCAACCTTTCAGTTAGCAGCAAAGTACTTGACTACTAGGACTTACTGTATCAAGTCTAAGTCCTTCTCAATCCTAATAGGGAAATTGAGTCCCAGAGACTTTTACCTGCTGATCAGTGGTAGCCTAAAGCTCCTGATTTCTTTACCTGTTTCCTCTAAGACATTTCATTTGGGGGATCATCAATATCTTCTTTTCTCCTGAAAACACTTGGATGAACGGACTCCAGCACATGTCAAATTTCAAATCAGCCATAGACCCAAGACTGCATGTCCTTGTAGTAGATTAGTCAGCTGATAAATGACCAAATTGGATGGACAGTTTAGTTACTTGGGCATCCACAGTAGAGGGGTTAGGATCCCAACATATACTCTGGAGGACACAATTCAATGCATAACAAGTGGCCACTTTATTATTAACTTGGCTGATGTTCCTAACCTCTAGTGCAGAGATGCAGACAGCTATACCCTAAGGCTTAGACCTCCAAGCTGGGAAGGACTCTCCATTGCTCTTAAACCAAGTCTAAATGTTAGTACCAGCTGGTGCTGCAACCTAAGGCAATGAATGAACCAAGATCATGAGTGAGAAGAGGAGCAGAGAGAGGCTGATGGACAGGCCCTAGATAATTTTATTTGGGTGCAGGGAGGATAAGAGAGGAGACAGGGCATGTACAAGTCCCCACCTTTAGCAGGTAGATCCTAGTAAACCTAATAAGATTAGTTGATGTGTCTGGTGGTGGAGTAAGGTATTGTTAAGAGACTGAAGGGTCTCTTCACCCACGCAGGCAGGGTTCATGAGCTGCCCCCTAGGGTTTCCTAGGGGGTCAGGAGTCCACTGGCAGGGCATGGATAGAGAAGTAGATTCCAGCTTCCTATTGGGTGGATTCCCTGGGTGATGCAAACAGTTAATGAGATCCACTGCCAACTGAAAGTTGAAAGTTCAGGTCCCCCCAGAGGTACCTTAGAAGAAAGGTCTAGTGAGCTATTTCTGAAAATGAGCCAATTAAAGCCCTGCAAGACACAGTTCTACTCTGACATGCATGGGGCTGCCATGAGTTGGGATCAACTTGACAGCAACTGGAAAAATGTCCTGAGATGGGGACGATGAAGGAATTAAGTTTGGGTAGGATCATGTGGAAGCGTGGTAAGGTAGAGAATCACATATTCTAATTTAGATGTGATAAACCCAAATAATAGATTTATTAATAAATGGTGGCTATTATTACTGCTTCTACCACACACACACTTATGTAATGACATCTGCAGGCACACGTGTTTTCTGTTAGCTTTCAGCTCAGCATTCCTCCGTTTTCTTCCCTTTACATTCTCCTCCCTGCCAGACTCCAGACAATGGTCCAGTGACTGCTGGAGGCTCTGTGGGTGGGAAGAGCAGAAACTGGAAACCCGAGAGGCAGCCTCTCTGGGCTCCTCTTAGCATCTGCAAATCTCTGAAGGTCAACTCCTTTATCAGTGCAGGGATCTGGTTCAAAGGAAATCCCTAGGGTGAAACACATTTTTAACCCCCCCCCCACCCGAGTGAAGCCTGTCTGGGTCCAGCTCCTAGGCTTGCCAGCCCTCTGGCCTTGCTGCCTCTGTTGCCAGGTGGGCAGACAGGTTTCCCAGCAGCTCTTGCAT